CCCAGTCCCCAAATTTTTAACACAAAGAGAACCTCACAACCCCCCTTGTCAGCACATTAGCACAATTTTTAATTGAGAGATAAAAGTGTATTTACTGTATAATCCATGATTTATTTAATCTTTGTTCCAGTTCTAAACCTTGAATTCAGAGCCTGGGTACTGTCACTGAGTTTTTTCACTCAAGGCTAGCACTCGACCAGTTGAACCACATCTCCACTTAAGCTTTTTGCTTGTAAATTGGAGATAAGAGTCTCAGGGACTTTCCTGGCCAAGCTGGCTTGGAATAGTGAACCTCAGACTCAGTCTCCTAAGTTGCTAAGATTATAGGCAGGAATCAAGTTTGGAGCAGTATTCCCCAATCTCTCAGAGCCCGGATCTATCAGCCTCTAGTTCTGTCAGCTCCCAGGCTGTGGCACTCAAGGACTCTGAACTGTTTGCTCTGGAAAAGCTTCTTCACCTATCCAGGCTTCCTATTTGGGCAGAGCAGAAGGACCACAGCCAGCTGATAGGTAAAAGATATTTCTGCCTAGTTGGGAGGCTCCCAGTCTATCTGACCTTATTCCTTTGATTGCCAACTCATTACTTCATTATAGGTTTAGAATATTGTACAACTGAAAAAGCAATAATGTGCCTTGAGGTTCATTAGTTATGCAACCCTTGAACTTTTGTGGTATTTTTCTTTCCTCCTTCTTAAAAGCCAGTTCCTCAAATGAGAATAATTACATAGATCAAGGTTCAGCATGACAAAGAAAGATAAGATAATTGCTCATAACCTTATCCTATTTTGGAAGAGCAAGTCTGACCTTTCAACTAAAATGACTTCTTTCTGTTGAGATTTGGCTCAAGTAGCTGGCTTAGCTTTATGGCAGAAAATCAGCCATGAAATAAAAATCTAAAACTGTGACATAACTCAATTTCTGCAGCCATTATATAATCAATGGCAAAAGAACAAATAATCTGTGGTAGAGCCCTAGCCTTAAGCTGAAGAGCTGAGGGACAGCACCTAGGCCCAGAGTTCAGGCCCCACGACCAGACTCCCCCCCCCAAAAAAAAAGATCAAATAATCTAAAGGAATTTATACTTTACTTTTGGAATGAAACAATCTCTATCTCTCTTCCTTCCTTCCTTCCTTCCTTCTTTCCTTCTTTCCTTCCTTCTTTCCTTCCTTCTTTCTCTCTCTTTCTTTCTTTCTTTCTTTCTTTCTTTCTTTCTTTCTTTCTTTCTTTCTTTCTTTCTTTCTTTCTTTCTTTCTTTCTTTCTTTCTTTCTTTCCCTTTTCTGCCAGTCCTAGGGCTTGAACTCAGGTCTTGTATGCTGTCCCTGAGCTCAAGGTTAGCACTCAGCTAGTTAGTCACAGCTCTGTTTCCAGCTTTTTGGTGGTTAATTGCAGATAGGAGTATCACAGACTTTCCTGCCTGGGCTGGCTTCAAACCATGATCCTCAGATCTCAGCCTCCGGAGTAGCCAGGATTACAGGTGTGAGTCACTAACACTCAGCTTAACATCTTCATTTTTATGTCTCTGTGGAGATAAGATTTTGGTTTTGTTTTTTATTTTTATTGTTGTTATAAAGGTGATACATAGAGGAGTTACAGTTATATAAGTCAGATAATGAGTATCTTTCCTTTTGGGCAATATCCCTCCTTCCCTCACTCTCCCAGTTTTTCCCTCCAGTTCCTACTTGTTTTTAGTTTTAGTTTAATTTTTGGTCATTCATGGGGCTTGAACTCTGCACCTTGATGCTGTTCCTGAGCTTTTTCTCTCAAGGTTAGTGCTCTACCACTTTGAGCCACAAGTTACTTCCAGTTTTCTGGTACTTAATTGGAGATAACAAGTTGGCACCACTGGCTCATGTCTGTAATCCTAGCTACTCAGGAAGCTGAGATCTAAGAATCGCAGTTCGAAGCCAGCCTGGGCAGAAAAATCCCTGTGAGACTCTTATCTCCAATAACCACTCAAAAACCAGAAGTGGCACTGTGCCTCAAGTGGTAGAGTGCTAGCCTTGAGAATAAAAAGGCTCAGGGACAGGGACAGAGTCCAGGCCCTGAGTTCAAGCCCCACAACTGGCAAAAAAAAAAAAAAAAGTCTCACAGATTTTCCTGCCTAGGCTGGCTTCAAACCTTGATATTCCAATCTTATCTTCCTTAATAGCTATAGATATAGGATATAGATATAGATGTAGGCATGAGCCACTGGTACCTGGATGTTTTGGGTTTTTAGATAGAGTTTTACTACCTTGTCTAGGCTAGACTCAACTGTTTCTCAAACCTCAGTCTTCTGAATGCTTTATACTGTAGGCATGTGCTTCTACTCATCTAACCACCTGATTCAAGATTCTGTTTTGAATCAGGCACTAGTTGTTCACACCTACAATCTCAGACACTCAGAAGACTGGATCTGAGGATCAAAGTTTAAAGCCAGTCTGCAGAAGTCCACAAGACTCCTGTGTCCAATGAATTAACAAAAAGTGGAGATGGGAAGTGTAGCTCAACCAATAGAGTACCAGCTGTGAGCTAAGTGAGAGCTTGAGGCTCTGAATTTAAGCCCCAGTACTGGCGCGCGCGTGCACACACACGCGCGCGTGCACACACACACACATGCACACATATTCTGTTTTGGTTTTTACTTCCATTAGTTTACCTTTCTTGTTCATTCAAGGTAGTGAAAGAGGATGATTAGACCATAATATAGAAGTGGAATTGTGGCTCAAGGGGTAGAGTGCCAACTCTGAGCAAATAAGCCAAGCAAGAGCAAGAGGTGTTGAGTTCAAACCCCAGGTTTGAACATACCACACATAAAAAATAACTTCCTCGAAAACAAACAAACAAAAACCCGAACCCCTCCCCCCCCCCAAACAGAAACAGGCTACATGGTACAGAAAGTTACTCTAGATTTCAGAAATGTACTCCAAGAAGCCAGTAGGAAAAATCAATCTCATTATGAAAAAAAATCATAGACTACACGAGAGTTAACATAGTTATGCAGATTTTGTTTCCAGCAAATATAATGAAAGTAAAAGGCTTCAAGGCATGTTTCATTACTAATAAGTCATAAAATCATGCCTTAAGATTTATTGGAGGGTATAATCTTTGAGTGGGATATAATTGGGAGATAAGGGATACCTGGGGGAGACAATTATTTTGCCCCTTCACACCACCTTCCAAGTCACTGAGCTGTGCACTGTCATAATAATGTGCAATCGAGGGGCTGGGAAGGTGGCTCAGTGGTAGAGCACTTGCCTTGCATACATGAGGCCCTGGGTTCGATTCCTCAGCACCACATAAGCAAAAAGAAAAAGGCCGGAAGTGGCGTTGTGGTTCAAGTGGTAGAGTGCTAGCTTTAATCTGAAGAGCTGAGGGACAGCGCCCAGGCCCAGAGCTCAGGCCCCATGACCGGACCCCCCCCAAAAAAAAATGTGCAAGAGATAGTCTAGTTCCTTGCCCTTGACTCACAAACCGTTTTATGAGAAAAGCAGAAGGAAAGGGTAAAGGAATTTAAAGTAATCAGAATAAATGGAGTCAAGTGAGTTTTCCTAAGAGGGGCAACCAATTCCTATATGAGAAGTCAGTGGAGAACCCTGAAGGAAGAATCCTCTAAAGTTGAGATCTGAAGAATTGCAAAGACCAAAGAGGAGAGAAGAGTGTTCCTAAGGGAGAAGGATGTAAGAGGGAGAAAAAACTCATGTAAGAGAAAGAAAACATGGAGAATTTAACAAAAAAAAATAGTGTACAGGCACAGGATTGGGATATATATATATGACATACGGTTAGCCAAAATCCAGGGAGGTATTATTTAAAATACTCATCTTAAGTACAGCAGTCTTACTCTGCAGGGTCTTCTCAGAGTGTAGGCATCTATTGGAGGTTGTGAAAACACAGGACTTCTTCAAGAAGACAATGGGAAAAACAACCTAAATATTCTCAAAGAGCAGCATTTTGGACTCACCCCCTACAAGAGGCTTCAGCAGACTAGACTAAACCAAAATGAGGTCAATTGCGCTAAATGTCACTTACAGAAATTTTGAAATGTATCTGTTTTTCAAACAGTTCCAACCTGACAGTACCAAAAAAAAAAGTCCTCTGTATAAACCCTATAATAAAAGTAGCTTTGAACCAATAAATCCACTCTTTGTTTCTTTCTGCTTTCTTCAGCCCTTCTCTTCAGAACACCAATTAGATCTCTAAACTAAGTTTGTTCTAATTTTATCTTGTCTTTTTCTGTGGCTCTGTAATTCTAGCAGTTGTGTATAGCTACCTAAAGGCACTGATACATATTAAAATACTTTTGACCTCTTCTGTTAATTCATTCTCTCTCTAATTGAAATAAGATCATCCTGTGTGGCTCAGGCTGGCCTGGCCTTCAACTCATAATCCTCCTGTCTCAGCCTCCCAAGCGCTGGGATTCATTCACTTGGGTGCCCCCATTCCCAGGTTCTCTACTTCTCCCCACCCCCAGCCCCCAAAATGTAGACCTATAGCTTTAACACACACACACACACACACACACACACACACACACACACACACAATTTTATTATTATTACGATGTTGTACAGAGGGAGAAAAACTGGGAGACAGCAAGAGAAGGGTCTGCATAGTCCCCCCCAAAAATGTACTCTTAGCCGGATGCCCGTGGCCCACGCCTATAATCTTAGTTATTCAAGAGGCTGAGATCTTAGGATCACAGTTCAAATCCAGCCCAGGCAGGAAAGTCCATGAGACTCTTATCTCCAATTAACCCCCAGAAAACCGGAAGTGGCTCTGTGGCTTAAGTGGTAGAGTGCTAGCCTTGAGCTGAAGAGCTGAGGGACAGCGCCCAGGCCCAGAGTTCAGGCCCCATGACTGACAGAAAATAAAAAGAGCACTCTCCCTGACTAACTGTCCCTACATCACTTTTAGAATAACAAAAACAAACTTTAAAAGACGTTGTAAAGAAGGGTTATCATGTCATAAGCCAAGCAGACCGTGGGCTTTTGAGATACCATTTTTTCCTATGCTTTTAGGGTCCATCACACACCAAGGCTCCTTTAGAAATCGCATCAACTACCCGAGTACAGCGGGCTTGCCCTCAGTTAAGATGGCCGCAACTACCTTCCCTTGCCCTTGTCAGCCTGCGCCCAGGATGGTTCCAAGGACTTCCTTCAACTACATTTTTCCCATCACAAAGATGGCGGCGCCGCTTCCGGTTCCGGGATCTGGTTGCCGCGGGGTGGTGAGTGGAAGCCGGGCCGGCGGCGGGTTTACGCCGGGTCGCCTCGCGGGTTCGGGAGGGCGGTGGGAGGGGGGCCGGGGTGCGGTGAGGCGGCCGCCGCCGTGCCCGTGATGGCGGTTTCCCCGGGCCCGCCTCCGTTCCCCGCCACCCCGACCGGAGGCCGCGCGGACCCCGCGCAGACCCCGCGTCTCAGTCGGCTCCCTTCTTCCGGAGTGAAAAGTAGGATTGGTGTGACAGGCTAGCAAATGTGGCTATGCGGCTCCGGGGGGCCACACTGTGTACGTCAGGGACTAGTGTCACCCTTCCCAGCTCTCCAGGCCTTCCTGCCTATCCCCACACCAGTGGCTCATGGTCAACAGTGTCCAGTGAGCACCGGCGCTGCTACTTGTACTCAACAAAATGGACCTCCTGTTTTTCCTCCTTTTGTGCTGATACTGGGATTTGAACTCAGTCTCTCACTCTCTCAGGTGGTGCTCTACCACTTGAGCCACAGCTCCACTTCCAGCTTTTTGGTGGTTTATTGGAGATAAGAGGTTCATGGACTTTCCTGGGCTGGCTTTGAACCACCATCTTCAGAGGTCAGCCCCCCTGAGAATATAGGCTGAGCCATTGGCACCCAGCTGAGATTTGTCTGAAGTGTAAAATCCAGTGAGTTTTGTGCATGTGCAAAGTTGAGCCTCCATCACCCAATCTAATTTTAGATTTTTTTTTTTTTTTGGTCCGGTCGTGGGGCCTGAACTCTGGGCCTGGGCGCTGTCCCTCAGCTCTTCAGCTCAAGGCTAGCGCTCTACCACTTGAGCCACAGCGCCACTTCCGGCTTTTTCCTTATGTGGTCCTGAGGAATCGAACCCAGGGCCTCATGCATGCAAGGCAAGTGCTCTACCACTGAGCCACCTTCCCAGCCCTAATTTTAGATTTTTTTAAAATCACCTTTTACACACAACCCTTTTATTCGCCGTAATACAGTGGATGTACTCAGTCTCAATTCAGTACTAACTCCTCCCCCTCCCACCAAGGCAATAACTAGCCAACTTCCTGTGTCTATAGTTTCATAATTTGAACACTTGACATAAGTGGAGTCAATAAGTGATTAGCTTCTTTCGCTAGGGTTTGGTGTTTGCAAAGCTTGTCCTTGTAGCTTGTATGAGAACTTCCTTTACTGCTGAACCTTACTCCATTGAATACATAATTCATATTTATCTGCCACTCACTTGATGAACATCTGAGTTACTTTCAGTTTGAGACTACTATGAATAAAGCTGCCATGATCATTTGTGTAAAGTTATTAGAAGGATGTATGTTTTTCTCTTTATCTTACATCTAGGAGTATAATTGCCAAGTCAAAGTGTAATTCAATGTTTTTTATCTTTTGAGGAACCACCAGGCTATTTTCCGAGTGACAGATCAATTGCCCATAAGTATGATTTCACTTTTGTACTAGCAGTTTTATTTCATTGTATCAGTATGTTTACCCTTAGGCCAATGTTACACTGTCTTCATTCCTGTAGTTTTTGTTGTTTGAGAAATACTTAAACTATGTAGTCCAGACTGGCTTTGAACTTGATCCTCCTGCCTCCACCTACACCTGGAATTACAGGTGTGAGCCACCAGACCGTGTTTTATCTTTTTCCTCATCTGGTGCTCTACCACTTCAGTCACAGCTCTAATGGTTTATTCATCCATTAGATATGGCAGCAGGTTCCTGAATGAACTCTTTCGTCCTGGGCTGTGTGAAGTTAAAGCAAGTAAAGTTCAGTCTTCACATTAGCTGCCTCATTAACCTTCAGTCAGCTCTCACGGAAGCAGAGCATGGCTCAGCCATCTGCCTAAGTCCTTCCCTTCTTCAAGGCTTGGAGAAGGATAAGGACGTAGGTTCCCTTAAGCTTTGTCTCCTAGAGCTCTCCATGGGAGGCGGGGTTCCTGCTTGGTAGAGGAGAGCCACAGATCCAGAACATGGGTCCTGGAATTTAGTCCTTCCCCTGTATATATTCCTGAGGGAGACCCCATGGCCAGATAAGCATAGAGGACAGGGCTAATCTCCCCCTCTACTACAGGGTCAGGACTGTGATTGTAGGTGCCATTGCTGTATCTGCTGAACTCACACCCAAGCACAGTCCAGTCTGCCCTGATTGACCAGCGGGGGCCTCTGAGCAGAATGATGTCTCTTAATCTTAGCCCCTGGCCTGAGGCAAGAGGGCAAGGTCACCATCCTTATGACTGTACCAAGCCTAGCACTGGAAGGAATATGCTTCTCCATTATGCATAGGGAATTAGAGGCTCAGAGAGGCTGGGTAGCTGGCTGGAGACTTCCTCACAGTAAGCAGAGAGTTGGGATTCAGGTTAAGTTTCAGGTCCCTGTTTATAAGTGAGTATACACAGTATTTAACCCCAGCACTTGCCTGAGTTGCCCAAAGTAACTGAGGCAGGATGCTGGTGGCTCACATCTGCAATCCTAGTTACTCAGGAGACTGATATCTGTGGATCCTGGGCAGGAAAAGTTCATGACATGCTTACCTCCAGTTAATCACCAACACCCAAAGTAGAGCTGTGGCTCAAGTGGTACGAGTAATAGCCTCAAGCTTAAAAGTACAGGGATGGTGGCCAGGCCCCCAGTTCAAGCCCCAGGACAGGCACAATACCAAAAACAAACATAAAAAGAAGGAAAGAATAATGATTCCTTCTAAAACAGGAGTTTGGAATGCATTTCACATTCAATGTAAGTGAATCTAAAAATAAAGCTATGAGATCAACACACCATTTGTTTTGGAAAAGGATTTCTTTCATTTCATGACTATCCTTGCTTCTTTGAAGGCATCTCTGAAGGCTGGTAGGATATGCTGATATAATCCAGAGATCTGCTTATCCCCTTCCAGAAACCTTGTAGAGCACTGTTAGGTAATAGGGGAAGAAGGGGGAGCTAGAGGGCCCTGATGCAGAGGTGTTTGGTGAAACCTCAGACTTGATTGGCTAATCCATGTGAAAAGACAGGGTGTTCTTGCTCTTTGGGGACCTTGATCATTCCCCTCCTTTCAGGAGCAATCAGCTGATATCTTGGCTTACCCTTTGCCTAAAGGAATGTCCACGGCAGCATGTGATTGGGTGTCCTCAGACTAGAAAGATCTTGCCAGCCTTTGGTGCTGTTCTGTTTCTGTTTTCTATTTTTGCCTCCTTGGGTAGTACAGGCAGCAGCGTGGAGGCTGCTCAGATTCAGGCACAGGACATAGGGTCCTTCAAGCTGGGCTTTTCCTGTGGTGGCTGCTTGGTACTTCTCTCTGTACAGAGAGATTACCTGCTGCTTAGAGTTACTGCAAATGAAGATCTTAGCACAGGCTGGTGAAGTCAGCACTCAGTACATGGGAACTCTATTGCACTGGTCACATTATTCTTAATTTTTTAAATTTAGACATATCCTTGAGATCTTTCAAGTTCTGTTTGAACAGCTGCCCCATGTTCCTTAATTTGGAGTACTACATCCTCCTAAATCTATTTCTGTCTTCTCTAACTCAGCTCATAATACAACCAAGTCACCAAACCTCTCTCTCCTCACTGACACTAAGCAGTGCTTTAACTGTCTTCTCTAATTATAAAATAATATTCTCCTTTTAGTTCTTAAATATTTTCTTTTTTTTTCCTTTTGGCAGTTTGAATTCAGGACCGCATGCTTTCCAGGCAAGTGATCTACTACATGAACCATACTCATAAGCCTTTTTTGGCTTTATTTTTTCAGGTAGGATTTTGAATATTTTGCCAGGAACCTCAGATTACAATGCACCTATTTTTCTCTCCTGAGTTGTTGGGAATCACAGATGCAAGCCATCAACCCAGCTGATTGGTTGTGAAGAGGTTTTAATTTCTCCCTTATTCTTGACCCACAGGGCCTTGGACGAAGTCACATGTTCTTTCTCCTGCAGCATGACAGGTTTATGCATTCTGTAGACTTGCCTGCCATAGAACTCAGGAGGCTTCAAACCTGCCAGTGTCTTGTGCTATCTGTCCACCAGATTTGCAGGTAGTACCATGTAGTACCTCTGCATGGTGGCACTCATGACGCCTGATACTGGCTATATAAAGTGTATTAATGAGCAGCGTGTCCAGGCTCTCCCTCGGCCCATTGTTACTCCACACAGATGATGGGGCTGGATGTACTGCAGTTTTCTGGTTGAGTATGCAGTGCCCCACTGGTAGCTATAGGCCCAGGACGGGTAGGGAATACCTAGTTTTAAACAAATACTCAATCGTTGAACCCAGCAAGCCACTTTTGGGGCATCCAGAGTCAAGCAGCCCTCAGCTAGGGGGTGTTTCTATCTAGGTTACTAGCAGCAGTGAGGTCTTGCTGTCCCTGCCAGACTGATGAAGGAGAGGGTGGGCTCCCCAGCCATCCAGCTAAGGCCACAGGATTTGGTCCTCCCTGGTTCCTTAGTTTGTTTCCTCCTTGGCTGAGCCTTGACTATCATTTTCTTTTATTTCTTTATTTTGTCAGTTGCGGGGCTTGAACTCAGGGCCTGGGCATTGCCTCTGAGCTCTTTTGCTCAACGCTAGCACTCTACTACTTTGAGCCGCAGCACCACTTCTGGTTTTCTGGTGGTTAACTGGAGGTAAAAGTCTCACTGAATTTTCTGCCTGGGCTGGCTTTGAACCTCCATACTCAGACCTGAGCCTCCTGAGTAGCTAAGATTACAGCCCTGAGCCACTGATATCGAGCGTTGATTGTTATTTTAAATTCCTAATACTTCATGATACTTGCATTAACATGCTGCTTGTAATGTGTTTGGTTCACCCCAAACTATGAGCTCCTTGAAAGGAATTGTCTAACCTTTGTATCTCCAGTACCTGGCACCAAGCCTGGTACATAACCTAATCAATGGGCTCATAGGCCAGAGGGGAAAATACAGGTCACCTGTAATCTCTCATCCCAGATAATCACTGACATTCATTTGGCACCTACCTTTCAGATTTTCTGCTTGTGGCTTTTTGTCTGTATTTTTCATATATACATGTGTTTGTTGTTGTTGTTGTTTTTGGTTCTGGGGCTTAGACTCAGGGTCTGGGCTCTGTCCTTGAGCCTCTGCTTTGTGCTAGCACTCTACCACTTGAGCCACAGCACCACTTCCGGCTTTTTCTGAGTAGTGTATTGGAGATAAGAGTCTCATGGCCTTGGGGCTAGGAATGTGGCTCAGTGGTAGAGTGCTTGACTTGCATGCATGAGGCCCAGGCCCACAACTGGCAAAAAAAAAAAAAAAAAAAAAGTTTCATGGCCTTTCTTGCCCAGTGTAGCTTAGAATCCTGATCCTCAGATCTCAGCCTCTTGAGTAGTTAGGATTACTGGTATGCGCCACCAGCACCCAGCACTGTACTGTATTTTATAAAATCAGACTCAAACTCTACCTAACAACTTTTTTTTTTTTTTTTTGGGGTCCGGTCGTGGGGCCTGAACTCTGGGCCTGAGTGCTGTCCCTCAGCTCTTCAGCTCAAGGCTAGCGCTCTACCACTTGAGCCACAGCGCCACTTCTGGCTTTTTTCTTTTTGTTTATGTGGTGCTGAGGAATCGAACCCAGGGCCTCATGCATGCAAGGCAAGTGCTCTACCACTGAGCCACCTTCCCAGCCCCTTAACAACTTTTTTTACATTGAATATTATGTACATTTTCCCTTCTCAGCACATATTCTTGAGCCCTTGAATTATAGATCTATATAGTTTTTCCCTGGGGAAGTGCTCTGTGATTAAACCTTTCCCGTTTTTAGACATGCAGCCTACTTTTCAGCTGCAATTACTAATGGTTTCTTTCAGTTGAAAGTTTCTTATGGTGAAGGAAATAGGGTAGTTGAGCAGGGTCACACATGCTGGTAATCCTAGCAGTCAGGAAGGCAGAGGCAGGAAGATCATGAATTTGAGGTCAGCCTGGACTACATAGTGAACACTTACTTTACAGACAAACATGGTGATAAATACTCTCTCTCAAATAGAAAACATGGTGTTAAATACTGGGTCTAAAGTAAAGTCAAGGGCAACCAGTGATTACAGAGCAAAAGAAAATTTTCTGGTTTTCTATTTGATCTTTAAGGTTCTTCAGTGAAGAACTCATGAAGGCCCCTGCTTCATTGTGCTTATTGTATTGGACTTTTTTTCCCCCATAGCCAGACTATGGAAGCCACTCCAGGCAGCCAGTCAGGGGAGAGCTGTGCACTGGACCTACCATCGGCTTGCGACCTAAGAGATTATATGCTACAGAGACCCAGCCAGGAGGCCAACAATGAGGCACTTAGTTCTGTGGAAGTCCATTCTTTTCCTTACTCTTCTGATGTGGATCCAGGTAAGAAGCAGAGTTAGAAGTAAACTGATGTTAAAACAACAGCAACTAGCAGATAAACAGGTGTGTTCATTTCTCCCACTCCCAATAGCAGATCTCAAAGGAATCATTTATTGTCTTATGTAGTAAAACATCTTAACCCAGGCAAAGCAATAGAGGGAGACTTCAAAGGATAGCCTCTCTGGTGGAATTACAGGAGGAGCCCTTTCCTGGAGGTCTTTTTGTAATCTTGGGTTCCTTTCTGATTGATCTCCATCCAGATGCATTCAGAGGCTGGAGAATACTTGGAAAGAGTAGGATTGTGTTTTGTTCTTTTAAAACTTCAGAAAATAGAAATGTGAACCAGTTAGGTGTTATGGGTAATAATAATAATAATAATAATAGAGACCTTACTATTACCAAAAAAGTCTGGATTTAAATAACTTTTCTACGGGATTTTTTTAGCCAAATCACCAAAAGTCTATTATTATTTGTATTTAATGATAATTCCCCAGTTCAGGCAGGTAGTCACCATGTCTAGTTGTAAAGCACATCTTATTCCCATTTATTATCCAATCAGTGTGTTACTTGCCAGCTGTGGGACTTGGAACATGTTTCTGAACCCCGCTGAGTTTCTGAATCATCTACAAAATGCCAGTTGAAATATTTGTCCCATAAGTGTTAGGTTTAACTTAGGGAACGATGTACTTAAGGTATTTGCCATATATTGATGCTCCAACTTTGTTTTTATTAAGTGGAAGCCAGTATGGTAGCACATACCTATAATCATAGCTCCTTGAGAGTCTGAGACAGGAAGGGTCCAAGGCAAGCCCAGGCAAAATGTTTGTAAGATACCATTTCCACCAACAAAAGTTTATGTGAGCTGGACACTGGTGGCTCACACTTGTAATCCTAGCTACTCAGGAGACTCAGATCTAAGGATCATGGTCCAAAGCCAGCCAGGGAAGGAAAGTCCTTGAGACTCTTATCTCCAGTTAACCAGCAAAAAAACCAGCCAGAAGTAGAGGTGTGGCTCAAATGGTAGAAGGTTGGTTTTGAGCAAAAAGGTCAGGGACAACGCCCAGGCTCTGAGTTCATTATCTAGGACCAGCACTCACAAAAAAGTTGTATGTGGTAGCACGTACCTACGTAAGAACTATAAGTAGGAGGATCTACATTCTATCAAGTGGGGATTAGGACTTTAACATACAAGCTTGAAGGTTAGTGGAGGGGAGACAGGCACTAACATTTAGCCCACAGCACATACTAACCACCTTCCTTTTTAAGTCCCTGCTCTGCCTGCTCAAATGTACCCTTCCATCTATCACAAATCACTTTTCTAGGATGCTTACTCTCCCACCTCCCTGAATAACTGTATCTTGTCTTTTCATTGCAAACTACATTGCCTCCTCTTTTAGCCTCTCAGCTGATGATCTGGTCTGTTTGATTAAGACAGCAGAAATTGGTATGAGTACAGTGGATCATGCCTGTAATCTTAGCTACTTGGAAGGTGGAAATTGGAAGAAGCATAGGTTGAGGCCAGTAAAAAGTTAGTGCGATTCCCATCTTAACCAATAAAAATGGAGGTAGGGAGGGGGAGGGGTCAGTGGTAATTCCAGCTTCACGGGAAGCATAAATAAGAGGACCATAATCCAGTTTAGTCCCAGGCAAAAAATGTGAGACATTGGAAAAGAAGGAGTTGGGGTTTGGGGCTAAAATGGTAAAGCCCCTGCCTAGTAAGTAAGATCTAACTCAAACCTTAATACTGAAAATATAAATAAGTGAATGAATAAAGAAAAATAAGAAAAAAAGAAAGCAGAAGCAATCAGAAGAGAATCTACATGCTTGTATTTCACACCCACAAACTTCCTTCCTCTATTTCCACGTCCCATGTCTGCCTTCCTCCTTGTCCTCATGTCTATCCTTGTCTTTTCCATCCCCTTACACATCACTCCCTCTCCTCCCCCTCCCCCGTCCCCCCCCCACTGATCATTTCCATGAGCATGCAGATACTCTCTAATATCTTCCATCTTAAAAAAGAATATGCAAGGCTTGACCCCAAATCTTAGTTACATAGATCTCTGTAGACTCTCAAAAGATGTCATTCCTTAGTTGTCAGTTCCTCCTAAATCCCACTAGTTCAGCTTCTATCCCCATTACTCTATAGAGATAGCTTTAGTCAAGGCCACTTTAAAGTCCAGTGGCCACATCTCAGGCTTTGTCCTCTATCTGCATTACACATTTACACAATAGCCTTTTTCTTTCTTAAGCCTACTATCATAAATGTACAGTCTGTTATACCTACAGGTAAGCCAGAGAGAGAAAACTCAGAAATCCAGGCAAGTAGCAGGTATATGCAGGTAGTTGGTCCTATTTTCAAGGTTGGAGTTGGCAATCATAGTCTGAACCTCTGAGAAAAACTGGCCTTGGTTTTAGGAGGCAGCAGGGACCACTGCAAAAGCCAGGTGGCAAGAATGTGGACCCACGCTTAAACTTAACTTTTGTAAAGGATTTCCTATTTCACTTCCCAGCTGCCTCTAGCTGTGGCTTGGCTCTATTTTGTTCTTCTCAACCAGATTTCTTTGTAAAGGGGTTGCCTTCAATCATCCGGTGCCCCGCCCCCTCTCTAGATTGAACCCAGGGTCTTATGGGTTATACTCCCATCCTACTTCTTCTTCCTACTTCATCACATGCTGTTCCTCTTTTCTCAGGCATACAACTTCCTTCCCCCTCTCTAGGACTAAGCCCTCTCTTGCTCAGGTGCCAGTGATCTTCTGGGAGCACCAAACCTAGTGGATAGTTCCCTGCCCTTATCTGTGTATCCAGTTGCCTGGTACACTCTTTTTTTATTTATTTTTTTATGCCAGTCCTGGAGCTTAAACTCAGGGCCTAGGCACTGTCCTAAGCTTTTGTGATCAAGGCTAGTCTACCATTTTAACTTTCAGCATCTCTGGTAGCTAATTGTCTCGCGGACTTTCTTGCTTGGGCTGGTTTTGAACTGTCATCCTCAGATCTCAGCGTCCTGAATAGCTAGGATTACAGACATGAGACTGGCACCTGGTACTAGTGCATTCTTTATGCCTGGGGGGAGGATATTACTGGTAAGAGGGTTGAATCTTAAGAGCACGTTCCAAAACAAACCCAATAGGTTGATAAGAAAAATCTAAAAAGCCTTGATCATTTCTATCTGGTACACAAAGGCAGATACAGGTAGGCTATAATGTGTTTTAATAAACACGTCTCTGTCCTAAAATTACAGGGCAGCCACCTCTCCTGAAGGACTGGTAGAGTAAACAACACGTCAGGACAGCCAGGGATGGGATTATGAAACTCCTCCTCTCTGCCCTTCCTGGTGAGATAAAGCAGAAGAGGTCTTCCTGGGACACCATTTCCATCACATTCCTCTGTTTATATCCTCTGAGATATTTTCATATACTTCTTTCCCACCAGCTGCAGTCAAAGCTCCTCTGCCTAATTCCCAGGATTCTCAGAAATCTGGTGGCTAGGGTTTGTTCAAACTATTTAACAACCGAATAGCAGCACTGTAGTATTTTAACTGGCAAGGCTGCTCAGGTGCATGGCAGCTGAACATATGCCTTTTTAACTACTCATTAACACAGGTTTGCTACTCCTGATGTTAGACTGAGCCAACCCCTAAGCCTTGGCTGCCTTTCCCCCATCTGTGGAATGTGCTTCCTCCTCCTGATCAACTCCAGTCCATTCCTCAGGCCCTTGATTTGAATCCATCAATCAGTCCCTGGTCCATACTTGTTGATGGATTTGACCTGTGAAATTCTTTTTTCCCTTTCATTTGCTTCTGGGGTCAAGGGAAGCATGGATAGATAAAATGGAAGAGCCATGTTAAGCCATAAAGGATCTTAGTTAAGCTTCTCAAAAGCAAGGTCATAGCTTTCCTGGGTGTTGCTCAGTGTATGCCACTGTAGCAGGAGAAACTCCACGTAGGCCTCCTGTTCCTCTTCTGGACTGTAGAACATTTGTTCCTGGAGAGTACCCAAGGTGAATTCTAGGACAAAGAGTTTCTCTGAAGTTGTTTAGACATTGCAATACGGATACAGGAAATCTCAGCCCTTTCCTTAAACTTGAAATTCTGCCTGAGAACAGTGTTGAGGAAATGAGTTGAATGTATACAGCATATTTGAATGTTAAACACAATAAGTCTTTGATGATTAAAGGCCCTAGCCGGCAGTTTTAAAGTAAATAGTGGTTCAATGCTTTCTTATTTTTCTGTGGGAATCTGTTAATATCCCACTTTTCAAAGGCCATTTATAACTTGCATATTTGGGCATTACATGTAGGGAATTTAATATTTGAGGAAAAGTATGTTTGTCTTTTTCCTCTGTATAATTCATATGGTACCTCTTTGTAGTTCCATAAAACTTGCTCCTCAACAGCAGCTCCAAGTGGGCCTTTATTCATGACCCGACTCTCCATGTCTCCTTAATGTGAGAGAAAACAACTTGATTAATGTCCAGCCCTTATTACTCCTACTACCATCTTTTCATAAGACATGATGAAGCTGGGGCCGGTAATTCTAGCTACTCAAGAGGCTGAGATCTAAGGATTGCAGATTGAAGCCAGCTCTGGCAGAACAGTCCCTGTGAGACTTCTGTCTCCAATAAACTACTCAGGAAAGCCGGAAGTAGTGATGTGGCTCTAGTGGTAGAATGCTAGCCTTGAGCACAGAGAGATCAGGGACAGCACCCATGCCCTGAGTTTAAGCCCTAGTACTGGCAAAACAGAAAAAACAGACAAAAACCCCCATAATGATACACAATTAAGAGAAGATGGAAAGGTTGAACATTTGTCATTTCTTGTATGTTACCACCTCCAAGAATAAATACCATCATGATATCCATGTTTCCTAACCAAGCCATAGAAAGCTTGGTTATATATTAATATGTTTCCCAAGGCATGCTGGAAGACTGAAACTCAAATCTGGGTCAGGCTGACTTCAAAGCCAGGACTTTAAAGAAATTCAGACACCACAAATGATTAAGTGCCAT